CATAGTAAATTCAAACATAGATTTAGATTTCACTATTAGCAAAGCATATTAAATGCTAAAGAGTATATTTTAAAATTTTATGTGAGAGTTGAAATGGAGTTAAAGTAGTATTATTCACATTAAATGCCATCATGTGTAAAGCACATGCTTTTAGTCCTTATATTTTGTTTGAATAGAATTACTCATCTTATTAGTAATTTTAGTGATAATATTAAGTCAGTTTCACAGTTTTTAGAGTTTTAACAGTTGCTTGCTCTATTTAATTTTTTATATGTTTGTTAAGTGACAGTCTAAATTGTTTATATGAAGGATTTAAGGATAGAAAATGTTGAAGTGAGGAAGACAGGGAGAAGCCAGCAAATGCAAAGGAGGACACTTCAGAATTATATGACACACGTGCAAATCCCCAAATCCCATGGCAGTAGCAGGGGCTAGGGGAACTGTGTGCAGTTCTATGGGATTGGAAAAGTCCTGCTCACCTCACAATGGGGGCCCAAGGGCAAGGCTGTAGATGGACCACACAAGCGCTAATCCTGTTCCCAAGTCTCTTCTTCCTCCTAGGTCTGCCTCCCAGAGATAAGGGTGCCATGATTAAGGGCATAGACTCCAGTGGTTTTCTTCTCTTTGGGGGAAATAGAATTCAAAAGAAATATATAGAAAAAAGATAATCTGTAAAGAAGATTCAGGGTCAGTGTGGGAGGAGGGTCTGTAGAATTTGATGGAACATGGAAAGTGCAAGCGTGGGGGCCAGCAAGATAGATTGGTGGTCTTAAGAGCCTGCTTAGGCAAACTTAGGCAGGCGCAGAGGGCCACGGTTCAATCCGTGGCACCACATGCCATGTCAGCCCTGCCCTCAGCATGGGCTGAGCTGGCCAAAAAAAAAAAAAAAGTGCAAGTGTGGATGGATGGTAGAGAAAGAATATGATATTGTAAGCCATTGAGATTGCCAGCACCCTGAAATGAAAAACAGGTTTTTACAGCATGTATTGGAGAAGCAGTCACTTCGGAGTAGCTGAAAGTGTTAGCAAAAGGATAATTGAAGTGACTGGGTGATGATAAGGGCCAACAAAGGGACAGAGAGATATCTCTGTGGTCTAAAGCATTTGCTTAGGCAAGCTTAGGCAAGCACAGGGACTGCGGTTCAATCCCCAGTGCCCGCCCCCAGGGAGCTGGCCACCAAAAAAAAAAAAAAAAAAAAGAAGGAAACCATGAAAGGGAGAACTATGCAAATGGCACAAATCTGTGATCCCAGGTACTTAGAAGGATGAGGTGAGAAAAGCTCAGTTCAGGGCTAACCTGGGCAAATGAACAAGAACCTGTGTATAAATGAACAAATGAATGACTGAATGAATGAAGGTGTAACTGAGTGATTTGCCCAGCTTTCACTAGCTTATGTGAATCCTATTCAATACCGAGGGGAAGGGAGGGGAGGGGAGCAGAGGGAAGGGGAGGGGAAAGGAGGGGAGAGAAGTGGAAGGGAGGGGAGAGAAGGGGAAGGGAGGGGAGGGGAGAGCAGTAGAGAAGAGAGGAGAGGAGAAGGGGGAGAAGAAAGGGGAAAAGAGGGAGAGAAGGCAAAGGGAGAGGAGGAGAAAGGAGAGAAGAAAGGAGAGGAGAGGAGAGGAGAGGAGAGGAGAGGAGAAGAAAGGAGAGGAGAGGAGAGGAGAGAAGAAAGGAGAGGAGAGGAGAGGAGAGGAGAGGAGAGGAAAGAGGGTTGATGAATGCTTCAAAAGTGAATTGATGAATTGTGATCAGTTTGTAATTTCTGTTTTCTGAATACTGTACCTACTTCCTGTTTCTCATTCAATGGTAGCAGGAGGAGCATTAAAAGTTGCAGTCATTAAAACGGAGAGTAACCTTATGATTACTTTTAAATTATTTAATTTTATTGGAAATATAAAAATACACTGTATAAAAACTAGGAAGCATAGAAATAACAATGTAATAAAAGTGAAGTCTACTCTCACCAAGAGAGAACAATGCTAATTATGCTTCATAGCATTCTAGACTCTTATTCAGTAGCAAGTGGTGACTAAAATAAAAACACCTTTTGATGTAAAGTAGTTTTAAAAGAAAATAATTTTTTGAGATGGATGTTAGATAATTTTTGTCTGAAATACTACTGACAAAAGTATATAAAAACGGAATTGTTTATAAACACGTGAAACATTTCCAACATCATTTTGTTGCTGAAGGATATGTTTTATTTGATTAAATCTAGAATATCTTTAAATATCAAAGGCAGATTTTTACTATTAAAGCAGCTGTCTTTAGAAACTAATTCTTTTGGCCAGCACTAGATTTCTATCCCATGCTATCAAAATATTTTGGTTTCAAGCTGGGCATAGTGGTAAATGCCTGTAATCCCAGCGTTTGGGAAGCTGAAGCAAGAGAGTCCCTGTGAGCTTCAGGCCACCCTGAAATACACAGGGAGGCCTTGTCTCATAAATCAAACAAGACAGGACAAAACCTTTTGTTTTAGAAAATTATTAAAATTATACAAATAGTGATTTATTAAATGCAATGTTGGACAAAGTGCTGTGTATGTGTAGATATGTAATTGAATCTTAGTTACTAGATAAATAAGAAGGGAAACTTACAAGAATAGGTAAAGGAATAATTAACTGGTAACTGGCTTTATTTTTGGCAAAAGTTAATCAGTAGGAAGTGAAAAGGTATCAGTGAAACCAGAAATAGTCACCTTAAAATCTCTTCTGTGCTATTAAAACCTTTAGAAAAAACCTTTGAGAAAGTTACTCAGGCTCTTAGTTTTCTCTGGAGGAATATCAAAAGAAGTAACTTTCTTGCTGCAAGGATACTACAAATGTAATGAAATGGTCTATGCATAGAATGATGAAAACTGAGTCCAGTGCCTATGTCACTGTAACTGGTCAGGGACATGAACTTCCTTCCACCCTAGTAAAGCAATAGGTTGATGTGCTTGTATTTACATGTTACAGTTATCTGAGATTCCAAAATAAAGACCATGTTCTGAGAAGATGTGTTGGCACTCAAAATTATAATCCATTGTATCTTAGGAGTAGAACTCAAAGAAACTTGACATACTCCTGATCTCTGAAAAATGTCCACATTCAGAATTTTTTTTTGAGACAGGATCTTGTTGGGTTGTTGAGGTTGACCTTGAGTTTTCTATGGGGACCAGGATGGCCTCAAAATCAGAGTGATCCTCCTGCCTCAGCCCCCCACAGCTGGGATTGCAAGTGTGTATCACATCCAACACACACATCCAGGAATTTTAAGGATGTATTTTGGTTTAGTGTTAGGATATTCTCTTTAGGAAAGGCTACAGGAAACCAGGTATATCATATACCCTATGAGACTTCCAATCTTACATCATGCTTTTATAATTTAAATTATTATTTCATATATATATGTATATATACTGAATAATATTTATACCTTTTGTATGAAGGTGGTACGTAATACATCCTAATTCCTTTTCAGATCTCTTAATTCCCTCCCTCCCCCTTTTACACATCTCTAATCCCCCCTTTTTGTACATGTTTACATTCCTTATATAAAATTCATACATAATTATAATACATCATTGCCATCCCCCTTCCATCTCTTAATTCCCTTACCCTTTGAAGAAAAGAAGATCTACCTCCCTACTTACTGTTACCCACCTTTTATTTTGTTTTTATTCCTATTCTTGTTTTGTTTGTTTGTTTTGCTTTTTGTTTCTTGTACCAGGGATTGAACTCAAGACCTCACACTTGCCAGGCAGACACTTATGCCACTGAACTATATCCCTGGCCCTTATTCTTGGTTTTTCCTATAAAAGAAACCATGTGTTATTTAACCTTGTGTGGCTGCTTTACTTTATCTACCAATATGTTCTCAAAGTGTGTCCATGTTCCTACAAATGACTGAAGTTTATCTTTATGGCAGAATAGTGCTCCAGTGTGCATAAATACCCACATTTTTATCCATCCATCTGATGATGGGTATATAGGCTTCTTTTTGACCCAGATACTCATCTTCTATGTATCTTCCCAACAGATGTAAAGGCATCACATTCTAATAATACATGCATAACTATGTTCATAGCAGCACAACTCATAACAGCTAATCTTACTTTATAACTGTAATTGTACCTTAAGTGTACATTAGAAATATCTGGAGGCTTTAAGTAAACAATATCAGGGTCCCTCGTCCAAAGATGCTTATTTAATTGGTCTGGAATGGAGCCCAAACATCAGTGTTTTAATATTGTTTTTTAATGGCCTGGGTAATTATTATGAACAACTTAATGTAATCTAAGCACAAACCCCTGGTTTATATAATTTCTGCCTTGGTATTTCCTATGATCTGAAAATGAATAAATACCTACTTCTTAACATACTATTCATATTAGATATTAATATATTGTCTTCTACTAAAGTTCTTTATCATTTCAATTTAACAAATTACTAGATATGCTAAAGTATGGACGTAGGACGATAGGACTCATCATCTGATTGAGACTAGTATGTATATTTGTCGGTTAGTTAATTGTTTCCATTTGACAGCACAAAACAAACTACATGTGTCATTCTGGATGCTTGATTATATTAATAGAAAATTTTGAATCAGACATAGTATTAAACTTGATAAATGGGATAAGATACTTTGGAATTGATCCAAAAACAATTCTGTAAATGAACACATGCTTTTCAAATAATTTATTGCAACATTGGCATATTTTATAATTCTTAGAATTTTAAAAAATATATATGATTATATGAAAAAGATATTTGACTTCTTTATGTATGTTTTAATCAAGAAATGTATTCAATTTTAAAGAGAAAAATGATAGCCATTAATTTTAATTTATCATTTCTATTCAATATTAATTACTGTTTTGCTAATTGAAACTGAAATCTACAAATATACAAAATTATCAAAATAATATCAATGTCAACATAAAATATATACTGTGTTGATGTAATTTGTTTTATACAATATACTGATTCTTATTGATTCATATTTTTCACCTCTAGGCGATTTGACAGATCAGTTGAGAAATGGCGGCGTTTTCATTATGACATGAAGATATTTAATCAATGGCTAACAGAAGCTGAACAATTTTTCAAAAAGACACAAATTCCTGAAAATTGGGAGCATGCTAAATACAAATGGTATCTTAAGGTAAGGTTTTGAGATTAGTTTTCCTAAATCATTGTTACGTTCATTGGAATATCATAACTGCTCAGCTTCTTTAAATACAGTCAAGAAGGACTGAAATTTGTAATTCCTATTTTTCATTGCTATACATACTATAAACTCCACATAGTGATTGTGTCGGAAAACTTGATATGAACTTTTGTGAAAGGGGGACAGAGTGAACCCAGACAGAAATGGTTTAACCAATGAACTGTTATGTGTACTTGCATCTGTGTCCCAAGGACTCTTTGATATAGCAGAGTGTGCTGTGGCTTTGAAGAAGTGTGTTTTTGCCTTACGTTGGAACCTGTCCAAACCGGGAACTTGAGGTGTACTTAGCAATAACATAGTTGCTAAAGTATCTATCACAATAGAATTGCATTTTTGTTCCTTAAAGACAATTTGTGGTGATGCAGCAGTATTTCTATATATTCTATTGACAAGATGCCTTCTGAAATAGTCCAGAGGCCAAAACAATAGAGTTAATTGGTGGTACTTATTGACTTTTTTATGGTTTATGTTAATGGAGAAACGACATATAGATTATAAGCAGTGTATAGTTTTATTTCAACTTGTGTTTACTGAATGTGCACATAAAACAAATTGTATTATATAGGATATAATTTAGCATATACAATATATAGTTTAGCTGTGAGAAATATTATGTTTACTGTACCAATGCTTCAGTATTTTTACAGCTTTTTAGCATGAGATGTTTATGTTGCAATTTCAATCATACAGACTTTAATTGTAGCCAATGTTTAATGCCAGGAATTACTGATTAAGGCAGATGAAGGAAAGAAAAGTGGTAGTTTATTAAAAAGCTTAGATACTTAAAATTCTAGATTCATAAAATCAATGTATTAGATATTATGAGTCTCCATTATCAAATGTTTTAGCGTAGCAAATATGCCTTCTGATATTAAGGGTTGAAGAATTCAAGCACACACCTATATGACAAGCTCTAAAAACACGGGAAATAAACACTTTAAAATCATGTATAATTATATGTAAATCAATCAAATTTGTTTACATATCAATTTTGAGAAAGAAAATTCATGGATTTCTAATTTGTTATCATACAGATGATACTATTTTAGTAACAGTGAAGTGAATTTTGAACTAATTCAACATAACCAGGTCTCTACCTGTAAAGCATGAATTATATATCTATATCTATATATATGTATTCATATAATTAATATCTAGTTTAAAATATATATGGAGATATGTGTATTCATTGTACTTCATAGATGCTTGTGGGTTTTTTTTCATCTTTGTAATACTGGGGATCAGCCCTGGGGCCTTGCACACAATGAGTACATATTCTGCAACTGAGCTAGACTCCTCTAGCCCTTGTTGTGGATTTTGGTACATATTACAGGTTTCTTGGGATGATAACTCTGAAATTATAACAGACTTATTAGGAAGCATTTTTGAGACCAACCAATTGATATATGATGCACCTTGGCATTGTTTTCTTTATGTATTTTTGTTCTTGAGTTCTTTATCCTTTTTCAATCTGTGAAATATATATCATTTTTATCAAATTTTGAATTTTTCTGCCATTAATTTAAAAAATAAGAGAACCTCAAATGTACTATATGAGTTTTTATAGCTGCTGCATTATTCATGGATATTCTGTTCATGTTGTTTTCCATCTTTTTCTCCACAATAGATTCAATATTATTTGTAGTAGTGAATTGACTCACATAAAATTTTGCAATATTTGATCTGTGGCTAATCCCATTTGGGGTGTATTTTTATCATCATATAATGTTGTTTTCATCTCTTATATGAGTGGTTTGGTTATTCATACATCTTCCATATCTTTTTCTACGTTCTTTTTTTTTTTTTTTTTTTTTTGGCAGAACAGGGGATTGAACTCAGACCCTTGTGCTTGCCAGGGAAGCACTTATTCTACTGAGCCATCTCTCCGGCCCCTATTTATTTTCGTTTGCAGAGAACCTGCTGGTATGAAAGGGAAACTGCTCTGACTGGACTCTGTGGTGACCAGAGCCTGAGTGTTTTTCTGCTTTTTCTTTCCCAGTTAACTCCTGCCTGGCTTCTAGCATATCTGCCATTTTTTCTAATTACAAAATTTTTCTTTCCTCAATAGAAAATAGAATCTGTTCATCTATACAGTAATTGTTTGTTGAATATATCTGATGCCCCAGCAGCTCTTCTAAATGTCAGAGGCACAGGAGTAGTGTCTCAGTTATT